AAACCCCCCCACCGGGTGGAAGAAGCTGACTACATGATGAGTATGAGCACAAAGCCCCCAGACCGGCTGGAGCCTCGGCGCTGAAAGTACTGACCCCTGTGGCAGCACCCTGTTACCTTACCATCAGCCCATCAGAGAACTGTGCACGTGCTGATCAGGCACTCTGCAGCCCAGACCTCTAACTTTGCCTTTAAAATCCCATCCCTAAAAGCCATCAGGGAGTTCAGCTCTTTTGAGCATCAGCTGCCCATTCTCCATGCTTGGCCCTGCATCGGGCACTTTGCAATAAATGCTGTACTTCTCCTTCACCACCAGGTGCCAGTACATTGGCTTTGCTGCGCATTGGATGTGCAGACCCAAGTTTGGTTTGGTAACACAGTGAGGGCTGAATATTCACTGAGTTCTCCCTAAGCGCAAGGCCGGAGGCCCTGTGATGAAGTCCCAGACTGGAACATGCATGCAGCACGGGCATAGGAGGTGGTTTTGGGGTCCTTGTCTGCTGTGTTGGCCTCCCCAGCTGAATACTGACTGGCATCTATGCTTAAAGGTCTCGTCTCTGAGGGGTGATCATCTTTGCTAGAGAGAAAGGGAAGCTCCTCATCTGCTTCTGCTCCTTCCAACATGCTTTAGAGCTTCCAGCTCAACCAGCCAAGGTTTGTCCTCCAGCCTCTTCCACCTACAGCTTCCATCTCTGTCCCCACCATCTGCAGGGGTCCTCTACTGCCCCACGCTCAGCTCTTACTCCCCTCTGCCTTAATCCTGCCCTTGCCCCTTGTCTCCTCCAGCCTCTCTAGCGGAGCCCTGAGCCTGCTCCCCATGCTGCACCCAACACCAAGGGCTCCTCTGCAGTCCCTCACTTCTCCTCTACCCCCACCGCTGCTACCCTCTTTCAACTCAGACCTGCCATCTTCCAGTTTCCATCATTTCCCACTGCTATCCCTAGACCAGCTTTTTCCTCCCAGAGGAAGCCCCTTCTTTCTGTCAGATTCTCCAGGTGGGGCCGGCTGCCCCTCACCCATCCCCATTGCCTTCCTGCTTGTACTGTCCCCGGGGGCCTTTAGATGTCCCTCTTTCTGCCCTGGAACTCTAGGAGCCATGGGACTTCCCATCCTGGACATGCGTCTTTTGAATTTATTTTTGTTTTTGCAAATCCACTTGTTTATTTAAAAAAAAACTATATACACTGAAAAAGTGACTGATTTCTTAAAATGCTGAGTAAATAACAGCACAGGTGGTGGGTGGAGTTAGCAACAACCACGGATGTCCACGAAGCACTGTGTTTTCCCCACCAACCTTCTCACAGCCCAGTGAAGTTCAGGTATGGGCTGCTATCACCACCCCTGCTTTGCAGAGTGGGCCCCGTCTGGGTTTGGGGATGAATTCCCTCATGTCATGTGATGTGGTTCAAGGAGCTGGCTTTGCTGGGGAAAGGCTAAGCCTCGAAGGCTGCGTTTTTCCCCTGAGCCCCGTTGTCCCACTGAGTTTGGTTTGCAGCCTCTCCCCGGGGAGGGTGGGGTGAAGATGCCCCTGGAGCTGGCCTGCTGTCCAGGCAACTCAGAGTGAGAACTGGGATCACCCTGGGCAGTCGTGCCCACTGAACCACGATCCCCATGTTACAGATGCAGAAACGAGCCAGAGGAGTTTACCGATTTGTCCGAGTTACACGCCAATGCCAGGGCCTAAATTCAAAACCACTCTGCTATTTTATACACAAGGGAGAAAGATTATATAAAGCAAGAAGGAGGGGAAGACCTCTGCTCTCTGTTTTCTGGGCTTCACTTTGCATCTCTGAGAAGTAAGGTGATGTTCCGTGAGGACCTAGCCAACCCCGTGGTGTTTTGACCCCCTTCCGCCTCCCTTCCAGGTGGCACTGGCCCCCTCCCACCTGGGCCATTTTGGCAGGTTGGGAGCTGTAAGGGCTGCTGCAACCATTGCCTTTGCTGATCGTAAAGATTTAGTAGGAACCTTGCTGTGCCTAATGCCCCACGCCAGAGAATAAGTACCCAAATTAAGATGACTTTGACATTTGACATTTTAAAATACCTTATAATCACTGGCAATGGTTCATGGCAGAGATGTCTAGAGAACATTTTGAGACTCTGTACATAAACATCAAGAGGAGACTAGGAGCTGTTTCTTTAATTCTTATACAATTTTTAAGAAAAGCTTCCATATTCCATTCAACTCTTCCCCTTTTCCTCTTTCTCACTCACTGGTTCTGAAAAATAGGTGTAGCCATAAATATGCAGGTGGTAGAAAGCTGACTTCTTCTACATCTAATAAAAACCTTGGGGGTAATTGAAAGAACTTGGCGCCGGTAGTCAGGTTACATGCTGAATAATATCAAAGACAAATTCATAGTGGGGAAATCAACAGAAAACAGGAAAAGGGCCTGGAGAAAAAAGCCTGACATTAAATAACAAGTAACTATGAAAAACTTAAAAATTTTGCTTTTTAAAATTACATCCTTAGAGAAATAGTCAAGAAGCATCTTCAAAGAAGTTATACCAGACCAAGTGTACGCTCTGTATTTCAAAGGACTGCGAATTTAAAGAAAAGAAAAGGAAATACCCACCCACCTCCAATTCCACCCTGGCATCTATTCATTAGACAAAAGTCTGACAGAAGCCATGGGTTTCAATCAGATTTTGACATGCGTGTGTTTTCTTGATTAGGCTCTCCTCCCATCTCCTTTCTCCCTTTTTATCTCCACAATCTGAATTTTAAAGGAATGCTGTCAAGACAGTGTACCACAAAAAGAGAGACGTCTACTATGAATCATACCGAGTACTTTTCAGAGAATCTACTTTGGTCTTTTTGATTTTACAAAAGATGGTTGCATTCATTGTGGATACAAAGTGATGTCGAGTTGACATGTCTGGGTCTTGTGTGAGAGAGAAATGCTGGCATGGTAGGCACATGGGGAGAGGGCAGCTTCCAGCCTGCCTTTCTGGCCAAATCCTGTTCCTCATTCTGCACCCTGACGTGGACCCTCAGCTGGGGACCTTGGCTCAGTCCTTCACTGCTCCTCCACTCAGCTTCCTTCTAGATATTTTTTGTTGTTATTGCTATATAAAACCAAAATCTTTGGAAAACAGAAACATTTGAAAAAAAAAGAAGACAACTACCTATAATTTATTGAATACAATGATCTTGGTGACTTTTCTACCAATCTTCACATGTACAGCTAGTTTTTTTTCTTTTAAAAAATATAGTAGAAATTACATTACACTATCCAATTTTACATCCTGATTTTTCTTTTGGCAGTGTTTTGTCTTTCTAGATTAAATATATAGACTGTTAACTCTCATTTTTCTAGAGCTGTATAATATTCCACATGGGTGTTTCTGTCCTTTGTTTTTTACAGACTCTGCTGACATAATTTTTGACAGCACTGGGGCTGTCTGTGTAGCTCACTAAAGGGAAAGAGACAGCCCGCCAAGGGGCCAGTAATCTGTGTCTATGATGATTCCCAGCCAGGTTCAATAGTGATTTCCCATGAACTGTTGGCTGTGTTCACATGCAGAGAGACAAGGCTGAGTTCTTTCTGCAGATCACCTTGGATCATAGGCTGGTGACTACATTATCTTTGTCGGTGGCTGAGTGGAGTGAAACAAACTGAGTACCAATCCAGCTCTGCAACTCCCTCTTGCTGCGAGCCGGGCCGCGGTTCTTGGTCTCCCTATGCCTCTATCTTCTCAACTGCAACAGTGTGGGTATCATTACAAACCCTCAGTTCTGAGAAATGTATTTTAACACATTTGATATTGGGTTGAGTGCCGTGATCCACGTGTACCTAGTAATTTTTCCTTCCTTTGTTCTCCCTTTACACTCCCCAGAGCTAATTCAATCTGTGGTATCTTAGAACTAACTGAAGAAATAAAATAATACTTGCCTTATAGTGCGTTGAAAGGTTTAGCTGAAACAGTATATGCAAATTGTTCTTAGCCTTTGGTAAGAGATCAATACATACCAGCTATTATATTATTAGTACAAAAACTATGTTGTTCTTAGAACACTTATTCTGTGTAGAATATATATTATACAAATTTATTATTTGTAGGTCAGATATTTAGAGAAAACGTGGACTTCTTGGAACATCCGTTAATACTCTTATTGATTAGAGACGGCACAGGGATGGCAAATAGGTTTAACTTCAGGTGCCAGGTCTAATCTGCTGCTGATGACCGTCAGATGTGCTGGGTCGTGAGCACAGGCGGAATCCGAGTGCAGCAGACAAGAGTGCCAAGGCTGATTAGTAACATCTTCCCCGGGCTTAGGGAGATGGAGCAGCACCACACAAAGTGTTTGCCATCTCTGCACTATGTGTCACCAAGCGTTCCTTGGCAATTCATTAGGCACTAGCCAGGCCACGGTTTATCAATCAGGAGTTTCATCAAAACCCTGTGGCAATGGACTGAACCTGGGTCCAGGGTGGGAGGTGAGGACCCCACGGGTAGGAAGCAAGCCCAGAAGACACAGATGGCTGGGAAACTGATGGAGACCTGGAAGTCATGACCGGACTCTGAAAACACGTTCCTTTCCTTAATGGCTTTGGGCGATTTCAGCCACAAACTTTTAGCTATTTTTCTTAAAACTCCAACCCCAGTAGAAGCGTGGAAGACTTTAAACCACAGGGGAGGGCAGAGTCTCTGCAATGAACTTGATTTTGCTCAGGCCTCGTCCTGCTAATGCTCACTTCAGTCTTGCCCCCTGAGCCTTGATGCCCTGCACCTTGGCCTTCCTAGAACTTTGCTGTTGGCTGACTGCGGTGCCCCTTGGTCTCTCCTCGGCTGCATCTTGTCTTGTTCTCTTCTGCTGTGGGTAAAAGGCTCTCAGCCCGGCGCCCCTCTCTCAGGAAAGGCAATGCTACTGGAAAGGGAGACTGTGCATTTTATTCTGCATTTTTTACTGTCTAATTCTCAGCTTTGGTGATACTTATGAAATAAAACCAATCATTAAAGGCACATTGATGAAGGTTTAAATGGAATACTACATACCATTTCTGGAAATATTCTGGTAGTCCCTGTGATTGCAGTGGTTTCTTTTCCATAAACGAAGGTAAATAGAGTCTTCTTTAATTCTGAAACAAACATACATGCATATATTTAATGTCGAGATAGTCACATGATGAAGTTCAAAGAAACATGTTTTTATTATGATTTTTTAAAATGTGGTGGAAATGAACTCAGAAAATCAAATCTCTGCAGATAACATTTTCTCTAAACTGTCAATGCATTATTAGGAGTTATTATAAGAAACAGTCCTACAAAACAGGTTGCATTGATGTGGTAAGATCAAACTTTTTCTTTTTTATGAAGATCTCCAGAGTCATCCCTTTCTAACCTTTTAACCAAGAGTGCTGTAAGTCTCTGGAGCAACTGATCATCTTTACCAACTCCACTATCTTGAATCTGACCACGTCCCTTTTCTTCCTCTGGTTGCTGTGAAGTGGTGGCAGACATTCTTGTTGTCCTTCAGATCCATCTCTCCCCCTTTATCCTATTTTAATGGAAGTTTTGGCAGAACATATGTCTGCCCAGAATGATGACAGCTTTACACAGCTTCCCTTGTGCTAGGAGTGGCTACTTCTCTAAGTTCTGGACAATGGGATGGAACTCTCCAGTGACAATTTCTGGAAATATTTCTTAGGAGACAATTGGCAGGTGACTCTTGCTCCTTCTAAGTCCTCTTTCTCCATTCTGCTGCCCACAATAGGAATGCTGCCATCCTGGACTATGGGGATAAGTTCTATACTGGGAAGGCAGAAGAGTGAGCTGTAAGGGCCCTGGATTCCTGAGGACCAGTGGAGTTGAACTTTCATACCAGACCTGGGCTGCACATGTGAGAGAAATAAACACCTCTGTTATCTTATTTAAACCACCCCTATGCTGAGTTTCTCCATTACTTGTAGCTGAATCTGATACTAATGGACACAGATTACAGAGACAAATTTTCAACCAGCATCTGGCTATAATTGCACATATTTTAAGTCACCTTCTTGGCTCTTCTTTGTCACATCTTTGATTTTCTATCTTCTTTGGCCAAACTTTAATTTAATTTAAATGTAATTTAATGTTATGTTCTTTCGACTTTTATAGGCTTCCTAAAACCCTTTCTGAAATAAGACCAGGTATAAACTAACAAATAATAATTAAACTCAAACATATTCTATTAGTTCCTCAAATGTATTTTATCTTCTCTCCATTATAACTTCATATCTCACAACCTTACATAACTCACCACTTATTTTTAAGTGTTATATAGGTCTTACTTATTATAGTACAGTGCTTGCCAACTGTTT